GCCAGGTCGCTAACTTGACCGCCTCGCGACAGATCTTGCTCACCTCGTTCCGCACGAGCGAGCAAACGGTCACGACTTTGCGATCCGACTTGTCAGCTCTCCGGTCAGAGCTCGATGCGTCGGCTTCCGCATCCGCTCAGCGCATCGGCGAGCTCGAAGCGCAGGTCGAAGAGCTCGACGAGGTCAAGGACGAATTGGCTACGCAGAAGAAGGAGCTCGAACGGCTCGAAAAAGGTGGGAAGAAGGGCGATTTGGAACGGCAGAAAGAGCTGGAGAAGGAGCGGAAGGAGCTGGAGAAGGAGAGGAAGGAGCTGGAGAAGGAGCGGGCGAAGCGCGAGAAGCTCGAGAGCGAGGTCAAAGCCCTGAAGGTGAGTCCTCCCACTAGACCTGGGATGTGACGAGCCGCCAACAATCGATACTTACCGGGACAACTCCTGCAGACCCAGCTGAAGACGACCGAGTCTGCTCTTAAGGCGGCCGAGAAGGCCAAGGCATTGCAAGGGAAAGCCGCCCTGGACCGGAGCAGCAGCACCATCAAGGCGACGCCTCACGCGACTTCCAACGTCGAGCAGGACGCCACAGACCAAGACGAGGTCGATGATGCGGCTGCCGACGAGCCCGTCGACGATGCTGCCGAGTCTGAAGCGGTCGAGCCCGAACCCGAGCCGGAGGAGGCGGCGTACAAGCCTAGCAAGAGCAAGTCGCGCAGTGCACCCGCTCCGAAACCCGCTGCGGCTGTCAAGGAGCCGAAGAAGAGCAAGGCGGCGGCTGTTGAAGTCGAGGCTGCGGCCGCACCAGAAGCAGGTTCTGAAGCATCCGAAGCAGAATCGGCGCCGCCTACGCCGAAGAAGGCGGCGCCCAAGGCGGCCGACCCGCCGAAGAAACGCAAAGCGGACGTTCTTGGGGACAAGTCGACGAACGCGCGCGCGTCTCAGCGAGGAGACGAAGGTGCCGGACTCGGACTCGGGCTCAAGGTGAAAAAGGCAAAGAAGGCCGCGGACGGGTCCAAGGTCTCGGCGCTCGCGTTCGCGTTCGGTGCCGACTCGGACGACGACGCCACGGCTGCGAGCAACAAGTCGAAGAAGAACAAGAAGAAGCGTGCCGTCGATGGTGGTGACGACGACGACGAGGGTCAGCTTCAGAAGAAGCAGACCAAGAAGCGGACTCTGCTCGGCCCGCGCAAAAAGTTTGACTGGACCGCCGAGGTAAGTCTTGCGGCCGAGGGTCTCCATCCCGATACTGCTGGAGCGAGACTGCTCACTTTTGCCCCCCCCTCGCTTGAACAGAGCGCCAACATCGACTCGATGATCCCGATCGACTTGTCGCCGATCAAGAAGCAGCCCGGCAAAAAGACGACCGGGCTCTTCAACAGCTTCCTGAGCGGACCGCCGACCAAGGCCAGCTTCTTCTAGGCCAGCGCCAGCGTTGTCTTTCGCCCGCGCGGCGCCCTTTTCTCGATCTCTTTTTGCGGACCCGGCGCCTATTCGTTTTTCTCGTGTATGACCCCTTTCTTGATGTTCTGTTTTCTGTGTAACGTGTACTGGCGGAATAAGTTATGCCACGAGTTCCCGCGAGATATTCGAGCGGGATCACGTGTCTGCGTCGGCGTCCGGCTCGGCCCAGTCCAAGTTGCCGCCGTTTTGATCTCTCGGTTGCTCCCGCGTTTGGTCTCGACCTTTGCTTCCGGTCCTCCTCGTGCGAGCAGCTGTCAAGTTCGCGACTCGGATGCTCGCTGCGTGGTCGCAGTCGCTCGCTCGGTCGTACTCGTCGTCGTCGTCTCGCTCTCCCGCTCTTCTCCGTGCCGCCGTCGCGGCATCCTTCCATCCACAGCCCTCCGCACCGCTCAGGCTACCTCGCGCACGCCCGCAGCAGACTCAGCAGCGCATGTTTGCCCTCACGCCGTACCGCAAGGAACAGGCGCGCACCCTCTCGCGCCAGAAGGACCTCCCCCGCCTCCCCATCCAGCCTCTCGCCAGCGTCCTCGAAAAGTACATCCAGACCCTCAGGCCGTTCCTGCTCGACCAGGCAGACCGGGAGGGCAAAGACCAGCAGTGGGTCGAACAGGAACTCGACAAACGCCGGGAGTGGGCGAGCGACTTTGACCGGCAAGGCGGCCTCGGCCGGCTCCTCCAGGAGAGGCTCAAGGGTGAGTTCCCTGGGAGAGAATTGTCCCTTGATGCAGAGGATGCTAATTCTTCTGCGCCTGCATCGTCCGCAGACATTGACCGGATCACGCCCAACAACTGGCTCGACGACCACTTTTGGATCAAAGTCGCCTACCACTCGTGGCGCGTCTCGCTCGTCGTCAACAGCAACTGGTGGCTCATGTGCAAGGAAGACGAGAGCATTCCGGCAGATGTACGCGCAAAGGGCGCTCCGGACGGTACGTGCAGCCGGATCTCGGAAGGGCGGTTTGTGAAACGAGATCCTGACGGCTTTGTTCCCGCCACGACAGGCGAGTTCACCGACTGGCAGATCCGGCGCGCGGCCAACCTTGCCAAGCGGCTGACCGACTTTAAAGTCCGCCTCGACCGGTACGTTCCTCGCAGGGTCACAACCTTGCGCTGACGCTGACCCGATTTTATGCCGGCGCAGCCAAGAGATTCTTCCCGACTCGTCGCGCGCAGGTCCGTTTGACATGCATCAGTATACCCGGTACATTTTTCATTCTTTGGACTCTCTTTGCCTGACTCGTCGTTCGCTCCTCTCGTGTTTTGCATCCCCACCCCTCTCCGTTGCCTCCGCGTTGCGTTGCCCGGAACTGACCACTACAAGGTCGCGCGCAACGCTTCTGGTTCGCCAACAGAGTCTTTGGTGTTACCCGCATCCCTCATATCCCCGTCGACGCGCTTGCGCACGCCCCATACCCGCATCCGAGCCACGACATTACGGTCATCGCGAACGACCACTTTTATACCATGCCCGTTTCGGACGCCGTGTCGGGAGACCCGCTGCCGACCGAACAGCTCGAGGCGTCGCTGTGGGCGATCGCGGACGATGCCGCTCAGCGAGGTCCTGCGCAGGACGCTGTCGGTGCCCTGAGCGGCGACGACCGCGACAGCTGGACCCGCGCGCGCGAGAATCTGCTCGCGCTCTCGCCGGCTAACCGCGCAACCGCCACCGCGATCGAGGACTCGCTCTTTGTCCTCGCCCTCGACCCGTCGACGCTCAAGTCGGAGCGCTATGTCTCTTCCTCGCCGTCACGCGACACGCCCGACCTCGACGCGCACATCCGCGTCGCTTCGAGCGCGAACGGGACCGGCCGCAACCGCTGGTGGGACAAGGCCGTGCAGATCGTCGTCGAGAACAGCGGACGGGCCACCATGATTGGCGAGCACTCGCCTTGCGACGCCCTCATCCCGAGTATCGTCTGCGACTATGCTCTCGCCGAGGACCTGGACGCGAGCGGTGCGAGTCGCCGAGGCGCGAAGCACGTTGCCGACGCCACCTCGGGCATTAAAAAGCTCGAATGGGTCGTCGACGAGTCGACGCGCGAGGCGATCGACCACGCGAGCAAGACTGTCGCCGAGATTGCTGCCGACAGCGAAGGCCGCATGCTCTGGTACGACGAGTACGGCGCGGGATGGATCAAGACCGTCGGTGAGTCCGTGGCAGCCCTTTTCTTGCCTTGCACCCGCTCATTTCCCCGCTCATTTCCCCGCGCGTGCAGCCAAACACCCCCCCGATGCCTACCTCCAGATGGCGCTTCAGCTCGCGTACCACAAGACGCACAACGTCCCGACGGCGACCTACGAGACGGCGTCGACGCGTCTGTTCCGTCACGGCCGCACCGAGGTCATCCGCACGTTCAGCGAAGACAGCTGGCGCTGGGTCAAAGCCATGCGTGACTCATCGACCGATGTAAGTGCGCCGTGTGTGTTTCCCGCTCTGGGCAGAGTTTTGACGCTCGGCGTCTACAGCCCGCAACTCGTTACAGTCTGCTCAGCAAGGCGACCAAGGCGCACAATACGTACACGAAGGAAGCCTCGACGGGACGAGGTATTGACCGCCACTTCCTCGGCTTGCGCTTGCTGCTCCGCGAGGGCGAATCTCACCCGCTGCTCGACGACCCGCTCTTTGCCAAGAGTCAAGAATGGGTCCTCTCGACGAGTGGACTGAGTGCAGGAGACCGCTTCCACGGTACTGGTTTCGGTGCCGTGTATCCGAACGGGTACGGAATCAACTGTGAGTTGCTTGCTTCTAGGTCTCAGCTTGTGCACTCGAACTAACGCCGATCCCGCGCAGACCTCGCCGGCGACAAGGTGATCAAGTTTGGGATCGAGTCCAAGGTCTCGTGCCCCGAGACTTCGACCGACACGTTCCGTCGGAACCTCGTCGAGGCGATGCGCGAGATGCGCGCCGTGTGCGAGCAGGGGCAGCCGCCGCAGCCCGATACGCTTGTTGGGGGAACGCAGGCCAAGTTGTAGTGTTGCATGTTCCGGGTCACAATGCTTTCATTTTGTCCCTCTCATTCCCTGTAAGCCAAGATCGACCCTTTCAATTGACTCGGAGCCGCTTCTTCCGGATGCAGTCTTGTCTGTGTGACATTTCGGAAAGCAAATCATTCTAAGGGCGCAGCAGAAACACCACCGCCCCTCTACTTCCCCTCGTGCCTCTCGTAGTCGTACGCCTCGAGCGCGTCCTTCCCCGCCCGAGCTCGGATCTCCCTCTCACTTGTAGTGCAGCTTTATCCTGCTCCGCTTGCGCTCTGATCTTTGCCTTTCGATCCTCCCCGAGGCGCCTCAGCTGTTCTGGCGTCATACGCGCCAGGAACGATCGGCGATAATCGCCCTGGATGAGGTATGGCTTCTCGTCGGCTTTGGCGCGTTCCTCGATGCAAGAAACGACCCAGGGGTACTCGACAACTTTGACGAGCGGGCCGAGCTGCGGGCGCGAGATGCCGCCTTCGTTCGGTCAATTAAGCTAACGGTACAGTTGAGCAAGAATCGAATCCCCGCTAAACCCCCTACAAAAAGAGACCTGTACAAAAGGAAAAAGGAAGCCGAATGGGTGGATTGAACACCCGACCTTCACTTCTCACATTTTACAAGAGTGACGCTCTACCACTAAGCTAATCCGGCAACTTTTTGACACTGGGCCAATTTTACATCCAGAACCAAAGACTCCCCATGAAGAGCTCGACACCAATGTTGACGCTCGAGAGCGAGTCCCAAGCGAAAAGGCTGGCCGGGGGGCAGCGCGTAGACCTGCTGTTGCTCAACCAAACGCAGACGGCGGCCATTAAAGGCTGGGCAAACGACAAGTATATATAGTCGCCGCGAAAAACAAAAAAGCAACGCGCACCCAAAGTCCGCGGAGATGAGATGACGCTTCCGCGTGGAAGCTGCCTCAACCTTGGTCGGCCTTTGCTCGAGACTCTACGAGCCCCACGCAGGCGAGAGAGGGCAGGTAGCACGCCTGCAGCCACGCAAAGGGGCGCCGCGATGCCACCGCGAGCGATGGAGACGCCGCAAGGTCGCGCGACCCCTTCGCCGTTCACTGACCGCCTACGAGGAGCACAAGGTCCTCCGCTCGGCGCACGCTTGCAGCCGGGGAAGCGAGTACCGTACAACGACGCGAGCAACACGACCAGTTCGAGCCTGAGTCTGGACCAACTCGACTCGCTCCGGCGCCAGTCGAACCTGAGCACCCTCTCGCTCTCGCCGCGGAGGCCCACCTCAACCTCGACGACGACGACGACGAGACAGCCTCGACCTTCGTTCTCGTTCGGAGTCCAGGTGAACGATGACGAGTCTCTCGACGGCGACGAACCGGTCCAGGGTGACGACGACGCTGCGGCTGGCTCGTGGACGACCGTAGACCGCATGCGCTGCTGGCGGAACGATGCCATGACGCAGCACCTCTACGACTCGGCCAAATTCTGGGGAGCCAAGGTGTTTGGGATGACAGGTCGGCATCGTCTATTTGCGGCGGGCAGGGTTGACGTGCCTTCTGACCGATGGCTTCTCCCCCCCCCCCCCCCCCCCCCCCC